TTCCTAGAATCTTCCAAACCTCTGGTGATTTCACAAGCGAAGGGTGGGAACTCTGTTCCTCTTGGTGGCTACAGTCATTGGATCTGTAACCCCTGGAGTTTATGTCAAAGGAGACCCGCCCTCTCTGAGCAGCAAGAGCGAATGGCACAGGGGACAGCTTTTGCCATGGGGCACGGAGGGTCTGATGAGGGCTCCAGGGGCCTCAGGTCACAGAGGAAAATTCTGTTCTGAACTCTATGGGCCACACAGAAGATGTCACATGGTCTCTGTAACTTTCTTTCCATCATAGGGACAGTGACAACAACTAACACACAGCACCTACCACATGCCAGGCACTGGTCTCCAGGCTTCCTGTGGATTATCTCCTTTAATCCTCTTGCCAACTCTGTGATGTAGCTGCTATTATTATGCCCCTTTTTTTTTTTTTTTTTTTTTTTTTTTTTTGAGACGGAGTCTCGCTTTGTTCCCCAGGCTGGAGTGCAGTAGGGAAATCTTGGCTCACTGCAACCTCCACTTCCCGGGTTCAAGTGATTTTCCTGCCGCAGCCTCCTGAGTAGCTGGGACTACAGACGCATACCTCCACACCCTGCTATTTTAAAAATATTTTTAGTAGAGACGGGGTTTCACCATGTTGGTCAGGATGGTCTCCTGACCTCAAGTCATCCACCCAGCAGGCCTCCCAAAGTGCTGGGATTACAGGCGTGAGCCAGGGAGCCCAACCAATTATTTGCATTTTACTTATGATAAAAATTTTGCATTGGAAAGACCTAGTAATGTGCCCAAGGTGTCACAGTCATGAAGTGGGAGAGCTGACATTTGAATCCAGGCAGGCATCAGCCTATGCCATCCCGTCTCTCCGAGGCAGCCACATACCCAGGGATGACAGGTGAGTGGCCCTGGCCAGACAGGGGTGACATCACCTCCCTTCCCTCCCAGGCCTGGGGGCTCCTGGCTCCCACTTACTCTGCAGCCTTCCCCAGCCCGTGACGTAGCGGGGGTACTTGTTGGCTAGAATGGTGCTGGAAGGAGGGAGGCAGGCCAGCTGGATCTTGTCGGTGAGGGAGACGGGGTTAGCCAGTTTGACCAGGGCAATGTTGTACCTGGGTCAGTGCAGAGGCAGAGCATGAGGACAGGGTTGACTTTTCCTGCCCTGTGGGGCTTTGGAGGGCTCTGAGACCTTGTCATCATTCCCTGTACGTTACCCCAGGTTGCTGTGACTGGCAGGGTCCCAGGGCATGTTTGAAAATGCAGAGGGCCTTGTTGAAAGGGGCAAAGTAGGAGAGATTGTATCCTCCAGGGACAGTCACAGGGTCCAAGCACTGTCACTGTGTCCCCAGGACTTGGCATGAAGTAGATACGTGCTCCGTGGACAGGGACCCTGCAGGCTTGACTGGCAGCAAACTCAGGTCACACTGGCAGTCTTTGCTTCTCCCTCCCCAGTTCACATCCCCACCCCAGACATCTTTGGAGCTGGTTCCACATCTAAGAGGCCAGAGCTTCTTCCCCCTCCCTACAGAAGCAGCAGAGGGCATGTGGTGGAGTTGAGACCCTTGCCTCTGTGAGACCCCATCTGTTCCCTGACAACCTCA